ACAGTAAGAGGAGGCTGCTTCCGGGGCCGATGGGCTTTGGAGCCGACATGCCATGCGGCAGCGGCCGCGCAGCCGCCAGGGCCCCAATCTTTATACACGTCCTTGACAGAACACAAAGCTTCCCGCCCTCGCACAGACGGGTGCGACTCCACACACCACACTCCTAACAAAACCACCCCGGCCTTGGAGGGCGAGCCTGGGCACAGACACGTTCAAGGGAAATGGCTCGGGGTTCGACTGTCACCCCCGAGGACGCTTGGGGGTGACAGGCGAGCAACGTTCGGTTAGATATTCACATCTCCTGAAGCCTCACGTACGGCAGGGCACACCCTCCCCCTTTTCTGAGCAGATCTGGAACGCACACAGCTCATCAGACAAGTTAAGTGTTGCCCCACGGCAGTTCCCCGGTGGTCACGCAGACCGGCCCTTTGCAGGCGTCCATTAGCAGACAGATGGGCTTCCAGACGCGCAGGCAAAGGCCTCGGGCACAACCCGGCACCCTCGCTCGGCCCCACCGACGACGGCGGAGCGGCCAGGCCCTCCCGCCACAGACCCGGCGTGAAATGAGGACTCGGACTGCAGGGTGTTCTTTAATGTGCACGACTGCTTTATTGTACAAAAAGTTTCCAGTAACAGTAAATTAGTTTTAGAAAAGGACAAAAAAAGTCATTTTGGATAGAAGCGCTTCACTAATTGCTTTATTTAAGCACACAAGAAAAAAAGTCTTATCTGACCAATTAGGTTGGAAGGGTTTTATTACCTTTAAGAAGCCATTAGCTGGAAAAACACTGAAAGCACTTGTGTCAAAACAAATAAATAATGCTCTCTCAATTAGCGGAGAAAGCGGTAAATCCGTTAAATTAGAGACACACACACGGCCTCACGCCCATGGTGAAGCCAGCACCTCCCCCCCAACCCCGAAATTAATAAAACCAGAGACAGCAGATTTCAGTTACAATCTCGGGAAAGATCAGGCGCTTTGGGGGTCTGACAGGAAACATTCACATTTCTCCTCCTGCCCCGATACACAGAGCCACCCCAGAACACACCAGGGGCCCCAGAAGGAGCCTGCCTCGCTTGCCTTCTTCTCGGACCCCTCCTAGGCACGGGGGGAGCCCTAGAGGCAGCCAGCACAGGCGTAGGCGGTCAGCAGGTCAAGAGAGGGGTTACCCTGAGCTACCTGGACACAATGAATCCTCTTTCTCTGACTCCCCCCCGCGCTGCGCTCCTTCCCCAAGTAAGCCTCAAGAGAAAATACAGCGTTTAGTGAAGCCCCGCAATTTGGGGCACAGGCCCCTGCAGGGAGCCCCAGCAGCAGATAGCTGCATAGACTGGTTCCCCATCCCACAAGACCCTTGAAGCCCCTCCTAATTGGGCCCATTATTTCACCCTAAAACAACCCTAGTCCCTCCTCCCTGAAAATAAATATAAATAAACGGTGATCCTTTCTCAAAGGGTCACTTTCCTTAGAGCTTTTGAAAAGCCTGAACAAGAAGCCAGTCTGACCACCACCGAGGACCATCCGGCGGGCAGCCCCCCAAGCCCAAGAGCCCCACTCTGAAGAGCAGCTGGTGGACCCCACTGTCAAGTTCTAATCCGCTGGGACTGAAGGACTCCTACAGTTGCTCCCCAGACCTACACACGCCCCAGGGTTCAGGATGACCACGAAGGTACCCCAAAATTCCTAGCAAGGGCTTGTCAGGGAGCCCCATGCTACACCCTGGAACCCCGCACGCCCTAGCCCCGTGGCCACCTGGCCTTGTACTGAGGCAGGGAGGGAGAACCAGGGCTGGGCGTGTGAGGACATGATCTGTTTGGACAAGTCAAATCTCTGGACTGGAGTGTAAATTTTTGGAAACCACCTAAAAGTCAACGTGACTGGCCCAAAATAAATGGAGCACATTTAATGAGGTCACGTTCTTTTAAACTTTTTAAGAGTGATAAAAACTAGGGAAAAGCCATCAAAAATTATACAGAGATCATTAAAACTGTACTGGTGCCTCCAGGCTGGTGAAACGTGAACAAGTTTTCAGTCACCACCGTTACCTCCCACGTGACCCGACAGCTCTGGGGCACACAGGCACCACGCTGACCCTAAGCACGAAACCACAGCGTCCCACCGTGGGAATCCGGTTCACACTCACACACGAGGGGTTACCTAGTCAAGACTTCCACCCTCTGCGGGACAGGCCTACTTTCTGGGCCTGTTAAGTGGCAATGAAGGAGCCAATAAATCAAACCACCGGTGGAATATTTTACTCTGAAATGGAGTGATGTTTGGTTAATAATTTGAGATTCACTAATCCTGAATGGGGTGACCCATTTAGAATGGCCTCTGTGTAAATTCACAGCTCATTAAATGGTGTCTGGTTGGAGCAGGTCATTATGCAGTTAGTGTATGAGTAATGGGCTGAGCAGGGATGGCTGTGCGTGAGCGCAGCGGACACGCCGGCTGGTTCTGGCAACTTCCACCACGCTGCCGAGCTCCCTTTGAATAGAAAGTGAGGTTAGTTTGTATCACCAACTTTGAAATCTGGTGGCTTTGCCGGGTAACCCCTTCTGGTTTGCAGGAGAAAGCGCAGTGCACAGACTGCAGAAGAGGAGACTCCGCGCACCAGGGACCTGGACTCAGGGCGCTGTCCTAACTGACCCCGCTGAGTGTGTTCATCAGATGGTTTCGTATTTTTCACACTTTGTTACTCTGATCATTAACAGTGATGGAAAGGCTAAATTAAGTTAATGGGGAACAGATTATAAATTCTTAAAGGACTTCTCTGTTTTCAACTGGAAATACAGAGAGAAAGCTGAAGAGGCAGCTTTGCCTCTACTCATAAATTTTTGGTACCAAATTTCTTATAAGCCATATGGTTTAAAAAAAAAAAATTCCAAAAATTACTTTAACACGCTACTCAGACAGGACTGCTACGAAGAACAGCACATACACACTGCGGAGCGTCTGTAAACCTTCAACTCACTTTCTCTTTCTGAAAGAGACACATTCTAACGAGCGTCGGGACTCAGACTCCATCTCCTCTGCCGCGGAGTCCAAAGTCCCAAAGCTCTTGACAGTGGAGGAAAGACAGGAGCCCCGCCCCGCGAGGAGCTCGGCTGCAAGGAGGGTCCAGGGAGGCGGCCCCCTCGACGGCAGCTGCACCCCTGCGGGCAGCCGGGCCCACCACGGTCGAGGCGCAGCCCCACGGCACTAGCGGTGCTTCACGCCGACGAGGATGACAATGAGGACAATGATGAGGACAAATAATATTAAAATCACAAGCATCTTCCGATTCTTCTTTTGATACTGCTCTGCCTACAGAGAGAGGAGGGAAAAGGCAGTCACTTCCCCACCGTCCACAGCCCGGCCTCCTGACTCCGCGGTGGGACCGGCGCCTCCACTGGCGGCGGCACCACCATGGCTTCCAACAGCGCCAGAGAAGTCACCCACGCGGTAGCAACCCACCCTGGGCGCACGCAACAGGCGCGGGACCCGCTGCTAAGACCGAGACAGCAGGCCTGCTTCTCCTCCTCCTAGTGATGCTTCCAGCGGCTGACTGGGAGGACCCCATCTCCTTTCGCGGGAAGCCTCTCGTTTCTGGACCCAGTTCTTGGGATGAAAATACACCCCCTCCCCTAGAAAACCAAGCCCACGCCCACGGCCAGGACGCAGGGCTCTGGCCTGACATTTGCTCCCATCTGCCCTGCACGTGGAGACAGGAAAAACAATTCACTCTAGGAAAGACAAAGGGCAAGTGCCCCGGGGGTGCCACGTATCCTGGAGAGAACCCGGGCTGAGTTCTCCTGCGCTCTGAGGACACAGCGCAGACAGCAGAGAGCCCTAGGGCCTGTGCTCTCCACAGCCGACCGGGAGCCCAGCCGCCTGCAAACAGTGCAAACTTTGGTGACCCTGTGCTGCCAGGGGCCAACCTGGAGCAGAGAGTGGGGAGAGGAGAGTCTGGGGGTGTCTGTAACCGCAGCAGAGGAGAACACGCTCTGCCCTTTCCAGGGGCTGCGTCACAGGCAAGGACGAGGAGACAACCTGGAATATAGCTGCTAGGAATGTCCACGCTGTTCCCGTGTTCCCCAGCAACTGTCAGACTGGTGGTTCTGTTCCCCAAGTTCAGCTCCACACCCACCAGGAGCCACTCTTCAAGCGAGGGGAAACCTGGCTCGAGGGTGGCTTGCACAGAGCGACCATCTGCACGGGACGGGACGGCCGCCACGCACCCATGGCTTGTGACTCGAGAGAGACGCAGAGCGCGCTCATGGCTCTCATCAGCAGCCCAGGACACCAGGGAAGCCAGTGCTAAGCGACATACTTTAAAACCTCTCAACCTGATTTATAGAAGTAGAACCTAAACAAAATTTTTAGTTCCCACTACGCTTGCACACTCCAGCAGAGAAAGCCTTCCCCTTTACCTGTGTAATATTACACAACACGGTGCACTCGTTTTTATTCAAGAAACCACGAAGCCAGCGCCTCATTCACCAGCACATCAAAACCTAGGTGCCGTGGAGTGAGAAACTCACCTCATTTTTCACTCTTAATATACAGGCTTGGGGCTCAAGTGACTCTGGATGCTGAGAGTCCTTCGCTGGACAGGGCAAGCCTTTCTTTATCATCACACTCAGGCGCCTCAGTGGCCCCCACACCAGGCCCTGCGCGTGCGGACAGGGAAGCGAAGGGCTCTGGCCGGACCTGTGCAGGGTGTCACCTGGGTGACCTTACACCACTGGGTGGGATCAGACCTGCCACAGGGAACAACTGGCTTCAGAATAATGACGAGGCAGCACAGGCAGCACTCGGTGAACAGGGAAATGCTTGCTCTACAGCTAGAAATACCACGGGGACTCAAAATGGAAGGAAATGGACAAAACCTATGTTAATTGCCAAGTAGCATATTCCTTTTAAAGAAAACACGCACCCGATTACATTTACAAGCGTATGTATGCTTCTCATCACTGATTACAAGATTTCTAAGATGCTTTCCTTTAATTTTTAGCAAATATCAAGAAAAATAGTCCTGAAATAGCCACCTTATTAGCAAAGAATAAGAGCTAATACTCTCACTTCAACACACTACGCTCTTCTCAAGGTAGCAAATGGATGACTGTGGTAATTAAAAGGGAAAATTAGATTTTTATCTTCTTCAGAATGATCCTTCAGTAGCAATTCATCAGAAATGTGTCACAACAAGAAAAGCCTGAGTTGGCAGCACAGACAGACAGTGCTCAACAAGTATTTCAGCAAATGCCCATTCAACTGATTATCTAAAGCAAGGAGGCTGAGGAGGGATGAAATCTTTTCTAAAGGGGAAAACCTTTACTCCTTCAGACTTTATTGTCACGGAAGGGAGTTCTCGGCAATCTCAAATGGCATGCGGTGCCCCTGGAGTCATTAACTGGAATAAAATGGCAACAACCCATGTCATGGTTTGAGTAAAACCGTCTGTCATACATTTTCACACTCTGAGACGGAGAGTCGGCAACAAGCAGGAAGCAGGAGGCAGTTATGACGCAAGAATCCTCTTATGAGCATTGGTATTTGATAATAGGCCCCCAAATTCTCAACTATTGAAAGATATTACCTTGTGAAGCTGCTTCAAGCCATCTTCAGTTTTGATGCAGGACTGCTCAACGTTATAGTCAATCCTATCAAGGACTGTGCCCTGAGTAAGAGGTGACAGTTATAAGCCATCAATAGCTGCAAGCGGGAAAATTGAGCTTCAAAAATGAGATATGCAGATTGCAGACATCATTACCCACAGGATTATCTGTTTCACTTAACTGTGTTGTAAAGGTACACACGGAAAGCTCTGGAATCCATCATCAAGCAATATTAGGCACTCAATGGCAGAGTGCTGTGTTAGTTGCAATAAAGTCTAGCTCATGAGAAAGAAATACTAACAAACTGAGGCTTCTATTTTGGATTTAGCAACTGTAGGATATGCCACATTTGGACTTACCGGGGCTTTAAAATATACGGTTCAGTGGAAATATGCTCTAAGCAGCAGACGGCCAGCTTCTATGTCCAGGTGCTGCTTAGATACTTGGATTCAAGTAGGCAGAGCACGCCAGTCACACCAGGCCCGGTTGTGATTAGGTCTGGGTGTTGGCTATCAAGTCTATAAACGTCAGCACAGGTCTCCAAGGGTCAGAGCAGAGATGGTAAGCTCCAATGCACCATCTAAAATTAAATGTTTGCCTCGAGGAGAATTTTGTTTTTAATTGTTTAATTTCTTGGTTCAAATAGAGAAAAGGGACACTGGGCTCTATGGGAGAACAGGGCTCCTTGTGGAAAGGCACTGTCTGAGATAGCAGGAGCGGTCCCGGGGAGCCGCAGGAGTAATTAATGTAACTAGATCTTCCACAGCCTCAACACTCCATTCTGCAGCTGGTTTCAGGGGGATCAGGACCCAAATCCCTCCTGGCAAGATAATAAAATGCCCTAATCAGATTTTAACAGTGAACAAACAATTTAATTCTACTTGAAAGCTAGCAGTTCCAGCTGCATTACACAATAACCTGTCAAAAGCAGAAGGGAAATCTTATCTATCGCCAAAACCCCTGCTGAGGGTAGGTAGGACTCACAGGTCCCCAAAGTAGGGTGTTCCAATGCGACCCCTGGATGTGGGCAAAGCACAGGAGAACTTGAGAACTTGTAATGACATTTCTTTATCTTCCCCTCCAAAAAAAAAAAAAAAAACCAAAAAACAAAACCTGAATACCTTTAAGGGACTGACAACAGTATATGTACATTATTTTTTGTACAAACATGCAACACACACACACACACACTCTCTCTCACTCACTCTGGAAGACAGGTTCAAAATTTTTTCCTGAGTGCAGAATCAAAAAAGTCTGGAGAAATACCGGGTGTTATGGCAGGAAAACCCACTGATGAAGAAGGCAAACTCACGTACCTGTTCTACAATCATTGCTCCCAAGTCCCTAAAGATCTCATTTAGGTCAGAAATGGACTGCACGATCTGGCGAATCTCACGCTCCCTCTCTTCCACCAGCAGTGTGTTCTGCTCCACCAGAACCAGCTGGTCATCTGTAAAGCCCTAGCAAAAATAAAGCACAGAACACATATGTTAGGGTTGCTTCCTTCCCTTCAAGAAAGCTATGGTGTGTACCTTTCAGGTATAATTTAAGGAAAATGAATTCCAGAACAATTTCTATGAAGCGCAGAAACAAGCATTTCCTCTTCCCTCACCGGAGAGATTCAAATCCCCACACGAGCAGGTCTATGGCACTGCCGGTCAAAGCAGGGGGTGTGGAGAAGACCCCAGGTCTGCTGCTGCCAACAGACTGGGAGCACACCCGCCGGGGACAACCCCATGCTACTCCGGGTCCCCGAGAGGGGATGTGCAGACTGCTCCCCCAGCACTGGGAGGCAGGAGGCAAGGTCTCCTGGAACCCCTGGACAGGAAGAACCAGCATGGGCCCCATGACTGCCCTTCTGCCTACTGCCAAAAACTACCTGATGGACAGACAAGTCAAGCAATGCCGGTCCCTTTGCAGTGCACAGCAGTGAAAAGTCTGTGAGGAGAAGGAGAGAGAATGGAGTGCAAATGTACAGGTATTAATCCTACAGCCCCTTCACGTACCCGATCATACAGAGTATTATCGTCTCCATCATCCATTAGTGGTACTGATGTAGCAAAAAAATGCTGGGATCTTTCCTCTCGATTCTTCATGCCTATCATAGATAGGAATTCACTTTACTCGAATATGTAAACCACCCTGGTTACTGCTACACCATTAAAAAGGGGAAATCTAGAGTAAAACTCAACAAAATGGCAAGAGCAGCTTTCAAAGAAGCCTATCTCCAGCGGAGGTGAGGGAGACTAAGGGATTATAAGCGCACAACGATATGCAAGCATTTGGGCTATTCAAGACAAAAATCACACGGTCAATGTGTATAATCCATGCAATGCCAAGCGAATGGCAAAATGACATGAATATCTGAGAAGCCCTAAATGAAGCAGAAATGTTTAATCTAACTGCTGTCGTAAACATTAAAAAAAAAAAAAAAATCAATATTTCGCTCTAGAAGCATCTCTAGTAAAGAATTCCAAATGGTCCTAATCAAAATTTAGAAGTCAAAAAAATTAAAATACAAATACGCCCGTTGTCAGAGGAAGGGAGAACTAGTTTTGGGGGAAATATGCGGGGATACTGGTGACTGCAGTGGCAGTATAGAAAAACCCAGTTTACAGGTAATCAGAATGAGGATGCAGCTGAGACCCGACCTGCGTGGTTCAGAGAGAAAAGGGAGACCAAGGGAATCACCAGTGCCGGAGGAGCCCCCGTTTACAGCGCCCCCAGGAAAGATTTTCAGGACCGCTCAAAAACTTGTCATTATACAGATAGGGAGCTTAATTCAGAGACAACTGTTTGTATAGTTATCAATGGCTATAGCCTTGTTAAACATGCTAGTGTGACTTTCAAATTCTTCACGCTTGACCCAAACAAGTTTTGTTTTCTTAGATGTGAGCTGTTTTGCTACCCCAGCCTCGGCTGCCATCTGGGCCTGGCTCACGTCGGGGCAGGGGAGGCCTCCTTTGGTCGCGAAGGGCATGGATGCGCTAAGGCTAGCAATGAAAGGCATGGGTGAAATGGAAAGCTGGTAGCTAAAAGGGATTAAAAAAAAGCAGTTCCATGGTCCTAGTGTTGGAATTTGTATTACCCCAAACTCCCTGGTATCGCATGGGTGACACTCACGTTTGAGGTAGCCCGACTGCGCGTGCCTGAAGCTGGTGGAGAGCTCCTGCAGCGTCTGCGCCAGCGAGGCCACCACATTGCGAAGGAGTCGCTCCTCCTGCTCTGAGCAGGCCCTGCGGGCCCGGCTGGGCAGCGCCTGCACAGCACGCTGGCATCTGTGGAAGAGCTGAGAGAACGGGCCGTGGCTCAACAGAAAACCAGAGAGGAAGCCGACGGCTCTAATGCCTCTGCCCTTACCAGTCCAAGCCGAACAGGTGGCTGATCAGGCTCACGCTGGGGCGGGGGACTAGAGAAAAATGACCTGAGGCTTAATGCACACATCCTGGAAGACGGACCTGGGTCTGGCCAGGTGTTGTATACACTACGGTTACTCCCATCTTACAGATGAGAACACCAGAGTCACTAGGACCGCACGAGATCATGCCACCGTGACAGGCAAAGTACCAGGACTCTGACCTCCCAGAAGCCCAGGCATTTCCCCACAGCACCAGCTAAAATTAAAGGCTGAAAAGTAGTCATGGTATTTACAAATTGGTGAAATTTAAAATTTTACGAGAATGTTTCCCAGGATAGTGCGTTTCTCTAGGACACTCATACACTCTGTCTGGGCCAATGGCTCCCGGTCTTTTCAGTTCTGAGACCATTTTTAACATGACCCTCACCCCCGGCACTAGCAGACAAGCAGAAGGTATTGGTGCTGAAATCAAACAACTGAGTTGGTCATGCTCCAAGCTGGGCTCAACTGGCAGCAGCACCTACCCGCAATCTCCACTCCCCCGGGGTCAGCATGGCCCACCGCGGGGGGCACGGGCCTCCTGAAGGTCCTGGGCACCCAGGTGGGAGGGGAAATGATTTGCTAGGGACCTAGAGCTGAACGCGGGAGGGCTCTGGAGACAGCAGTGCCATGGCTGGGACACGCCCGTTCCTGCTGGGGTCCGCGCCCATCCTCACCTGAGTGATCTCTTGGGTGGTGATCTCAATGGCATGCTCCTGCTCACTGCTGTCATCCAGGGTAGGTCTGTTTACATGCTGGTCATGAAGACTGGCTAATTCCTTCATCTTCTGCTTAATCCGGCCAACATCGTACTGGATCTAAACAGATGAAGTCACCAGAACTCCACTGACGCTGCCAGGGAGCTGTCTGCCTCAGAGACAATTAGCTACACTCAGCGCACAGAGTTCAGTCTTCAGCCAACTTGTAGGCTCACTGATGCGTGAGCAACTTTTAATTCGGATGACCAGAAATTCAAATACCGCTCCTTGTCACACAGTTCTTCAATTTCTTCCTTTAATTCAAGTTGTTCCTACTAGACCCAACTCATAAGCACACACATGAACACCACCTGTGCTGTGTAACGCAAATAACCCTAAAACTAAAGCATTTCCAGGGATGTGAACTCCTGCGCGGATACCCCAGTTTCCACAGCAGGCAGGCTAGAAGACATTAATGCCCTAATTACTTTAACCAAAAAATAAGTAGTGTGAAACTAACATTCAACTTACTTCATCCACGCCATCCACCCATTTAGGAGGTGACCGTTTTGTCACGCCAATCGCTGCTTCTGGATCTAAGCTGATGCCTGACACCAGAGCCATGCGGTCATCAGCCAGCTACAGGGGAATAAAGGGACATCAAAAAAAAAAAAAAAAAATCACTCAAATTCCATGTAGATAAGCACACTCTTACTCCCCTTTAAATGTTGCCCCATAAGAAGACATAGAAACACAGGAGTCAGTGTGCTTGCCTGGACTATAAACGCTCTTTGATGCTGCTAGGATTTGCAATTGTTTCCTATTTTTTCAGGCACCAGTTCTTAATTTCCTTGGATATACTGGTGATCATGAATTTGACGTGACCTAGTTATAGAAATGTCACGAAAAAAGTCAACAGCAAATCCTTAAAAGAAAGGCTCCTCGGTCGCCAGCGCCGCGACAGCACTGCACACACAGCAACTATCAACGTGCCCAGACACAGTGGGAAGAAAGACAGGGCTGCGAGGGACCACTCAGACCATCTCCGGCAGCAAGGCTTATTTACATGTATGTAGCCTACTTTGTCAACAGGGCTGGCCCAGTCATCTTAGTCTCAAGATCATTAGCCATGTGTTAAAATGTGCGAAAGAACTGCCTAGAACGGCTCGCAAGCTAGCCGCCATTTGGCAAAAGCAACCCTTCAAATCTCACTGCAACCTTATACTGCCATTTCTTTTCTTCAGTTAAATGTCCACAGGCCACATTTCCACTTACTTTAAATGATACCGATAGTTTGTGTTTATTTTCCCTATCTAATACACTGGCGTAGAAAGCTTTTAAGAATGAGAGGAAAATCACGGGTTTGGCTTGGTTATGCTGTTCTCTTGCCTGGAGGCAGGCAAGGGGTGGGAAGGATCTTGAGGTGCCCTCCGGAGCTCAGAATTTATAAATGCCAGTTTCAAAAGACCCAAATGATGATCAAAAAATAATGGAAAACAGCATATAAAAGTCCTTTATAGGTAATACTTTGCAAATTTTCTAAATCACACTGCAAGAATTGGGTGAAGAATTTATATTGCTTTTCTTACCCTTTCACTGCATTTATCTAAATTTACTTTTTCATTCATTCAGCAAATACTTGTTTGCTTTCCTAACAATAAAGGATCAAGACCACATTTAAAATTCCACAGATAAAGGGGGAAAATATCTGACAGAGAAAAACCTAGATTAAAAGAATTCTGAAAGTAAAAGGCCTTAAATCCTGCACAGAGAACACACAGCAAAACCCCGAGAAGTCAACTGGTGTCTTTCACATCCCCTTTCCCTAGGGGAGGTTCTCCCCACCTGCCCAGGGCATGTGGATGCCTTCAGGGAGTGCATCTGGCACAGTGACCGTGCTGAGGGCACCAGAATCCCAGTCCCCAGAGCCTGAGTCGTGATTCAGTCTGTGGCATTCGGCCGCAGTGTGGGCCCTGCAGGTCCACGGTGTCATTTCAGGTCTCAAACAAATCATGTGTCACACAACCTGAGCCATCTGGGGCTCTGAGAGTCTGTTTAGTGGTGAATTTTCAAGCACCACCACCTTGTTTGTTTTTAAGAGTTCACTAATAGGAATTTTATCCTCTTTTTATTATTTTAACCCTCACCAGAAAAATCAAGGGGAGCTAGGTATAAATTAGGAAATTTAAACTCAGAAAAGCTAAGTAGCTTGCCCAAGGTCACAAAGCTATCACGTCACAGATCAAAACCTGTGTAGGCTGATTCCAGAAGTTTCATCCACTCCACAAACTGCCCATCACTTTGGCAGGCCCATGAAACACAACCGCAGTTTGCTAAGAAAACAAACCAGGACAATAAACCTTGAGGTTAGACCAACGACAGCCCCCTCCGCTCCCCATCGGCTGCACCAGACCTTGAGGGACAGCTCCAATGAGCCCATCGAGTCAGCAGAAAATCGCCTGCACACTGAGGTGCAGACCTCACCCCGCAGAGTTGGTGCGGATGATGACAGGCGGATTTGTTCCTCAAAACTCCAGTTCCGGCCACCAAGAGGTGTGCCACTTTTCTGGAGGGTGCCTGAATAGGCAGGCAGCACCTCCAGTCTCAGCATCTGCCAGCACTACAGCAGGTACCAGGCAAAGACTTGTTCCTAAATGGAACTTAACTTTCAACCTCCAGCTGCTTAAACCAAGCCAAACCTAAAACTGCCAGGGGGCCTCTTCTTGGTTCGGGGAATTTCCACTGTGGCGGCTCACTGCTGAGTCTACCATCTTTCATTATTACACCTTATTTCCATAAAGTAATAATAAGTTGTTTAATTTGGTTTTTAAATTCAAGATCTTATTTTGTGCTGCGTACAAATACACATTAAACTAAAAAAAGATACAGAAATGGTATTTACCTAAATTTATCTACATAGTAATTAGTGTCAATTTATCTGAAAATAAACGAGAAATTATAAATCACGTTTGTTAGTTGAAATGGATTCAACTCTTTTAAGCCGTACTTGCTCTCACATGAGAGATGTGTTCCCCACAAAGGCGCATCCATCAGAACTGGGGCGAACACACTCTGCCGCGTCCTGAGGAGACCTGCTCATGTGGAGACCCCTCAAGGTGGGGCCAGGAGCTAGCTAGCTCCCCCCGGCGCTGTACCACAACCTCCTCAGGAAGCAGAACAGCTGACTCTTCGGGACTGCAAACATCCAGTACGGAATAATAAATTCTGTGATTCCTATAGCCGCCCGCTCCCTGGCCCGCCCCCAGGCAGGGCTAGGAAAACCTCATCGGCAAGGAGAGGCGCCCTACTCAGAAGACACGTGTCCTTTATTGTGGTGTGTGCATCTGGAACGCGCACCACAGTGTGTGCTGTATGGGAAAAAAAACACCAAGAACCCAGGTTTTAGGAATAGAAAAACAGAATTGAAGAGAAATGTCAATTATCTGAAATGTGAACAAACAGGAACATAAGAAAAATACATTTTAAGTGTAAAATATCATCCCTTCCACTTCCAACTTTAGAAGCCTCATTTCCCATTTGAAATCATGTTTTCTTATCTTTTAAGATCCAGACTTGATGGGTTTTCACGTTGTCCTCCTATTCAATACAGACCTTCAAAAACTGCCAGATTTTAATCCGCTGTATTTATCCTCACTGCATTTCAACTCAGTCCCACTGGACATGAACGGATATAAAGCTTTTTCTCAGCTGAACTTGTGCTTCTAAAGCACAAAAAAAAAAAAAACCCTGCATTTTTTTCAAAATAAGAAAAAAGTTATAAAAGTTGTATTTATGAGAATAATTCTGGCCTTTTTATTTGTACCTCCATCCACCGTGCTCTGTGGGGTGCATGGCCCTCACACACAGCCACTGACCCCACTTCACAGGCGCTGGGCCCCCCTCAGGGCGCGAGGGGCACACCCACAGGCCCCCCGGCGGGTCTCAGCTCCAGCTCTCTCGCATCCATCAGGGCACCCGCACCTGCCTCTTTAGAGTCGTCCCCCCCCCCCCCCCACCATAAATGTTGCTATTCCAAGTATACAGTCTCCCTAGAAGGCACACGAAGAGCACTCTCAAACTAGGGTAATGGCAAATGTGCTCTGCAGAGTCACACGCAGGAACCCCACCATGACGCACTGCTAAAGAGGAACACACCGACAATTCTGGGCTGTCTGTGGCAGTGGACAATTGAGAAGCCCAGAGGGACATGGAAAATGGCCGCTGGGCTTCCCCAGGCGGCCGTGGAGGAGCCGTCTGAGGGTCAGGCCCCAGCACACCTCGCCAGGCAAGGGCAGGTGATGCCGACAGCCAGTCAGGAGCCCTCAGGTCCCTTGAGGGAACAGGTAAGCATGAGGGTCACCGGTCAGGGGTGTCAGAGCTGCCTTTCCCAGAAACATCTGCCACAGCCGTAAAGCAGTTTACTTTTTCTGATTATGAAACTAATAAAAATTCAAAATAGACACTTTCTAAATGTACAGACAATATAGAGATAAAAAGTCCTCAGATGTAATCATTGTCCTTGTTTCTCAACTCTGAGATCAACCCTTCAAACAGGCACACAGGGAGCAACAACGCCAGGTACCTGACCTTTTCAAGGCCTGACGGCATAGCTTGCGAGGGGACTGCTCCCTACGTGATGAAGGCAGACAGTGAGGCAGTGCCTGCGCCCCCCCCCCCAATCCCCGGCCTCCCCAGGCCGTGTGCTTGCAAGCTGGATGCGTGCAGCTTGCCATTTTTTTCAAACTTCCTATGGTGACCGTTAAAATCTCAATGACTTGAGGAATTACTTTGTCATAGGAGGGGAGCAGAAGAGGGACACACTTCTCAGGGGACCCCCGACTTGGCATTTCTGAAAAAGAATGAAGAGTGGCCCCCGCAAGGTACAGGTTTCTAAGCGGGTCTGAGCAGGACAGACTCAAGTGGACAGACGGCAGGCCAGTTCTGAGCCGCCCCACCGCACAGTCAGATCTCACCTACCGGGGGGGGACCGGGAGCTGGGGTCACGTTCAGTATTCCTGGAGGACATGGGTTCGCAGCCCAGCTGCTGCCGTGGGGTGCCCAGGCCCCAGACACCATTCCGAGCCCACCCCCAGCTCCCAGCCCAGCACCTGGCACTTAGCAGGGGTAATTAGCCCAATGAGTCAGCAACGTATGGAACAAATAAATGAAGTAAATTAAAAAACATGCTGTACAATTCTGGAAACAGCACTTCAGAAAGACATAATGGCTCTGGACAAAGGAGACAGCGCGCAGGCAGGGCTGGAGGGAGTGGCAGGATGCGCAGGCTGGACTCTGAGTCGGGGACACAGGGCAGGGGAGGGTGTGGTGGAGAAAGTGCTTCTCTGCCCAGGGTCTCGGGAACAAAGGTGAAGCGCTGTTAGCACTCGGGTTCCGGAGGACGGAAAGCAAGTCTCCAGTCCCCACAGCAGTAGCCCGTGTCCGGAACTGGCGGCTGAAACAGGAGGCAGGAAGACCGGGAAGGGCTCGGGCGGCAGAGCCCAGGGAAACAGGACCAGAGCCGGGGCCCACGCCGAGGAGAGGCCGGTACTGCTGACCTAAGCGGCTGGGTTCTTCGCTATTTCCCTCACTCTACACCTCCCTTTGGGGGCCCACGTCCCCTATTTCCAAACGGTTCATTA